CCCCCCCCCCCAGCTTGTATGTTAAAAAAGGCCTTGTGGTAGGTCATTACTCACGCTTAAGAAATAGGTGTTAAGTGATTGGGCGAGATCTTTACCAGATAGAGTGGTACCATTCTTAACGATCATAATGTTATTGGTTGAAGATCTTTTTCCCGGACATCTGGTTAACACAGTCCCACCACTTTCTGGAGTCACTGGATTTTAGGTGTTGTACCTTGTTCGTATAATATACACGCTTTTTCACTCCTATGTCGTTTCGGACTTTAAGTCTATAGTGACGCTAGAGGTCAAGGTTACCAGAATGAAAGGCTTTTTGCCTTTGATAAATCAGTTTTTTTAATGCAGGCGTCATCCATGGTTTGTCAGAGTTATGAATTCTAATAACCTTAGACGGGAATAACCTATCAACAGCAGAATTTAACTCGTTGGTAAAGGATGACGCTAGAGCGGTCGCAGAGTTTTTGCTTTCGGCATCAGAGAACCACTCACGTGAGCAACACCATCTTCCAAAAGCTGCACGTGCCGACATGGGGAAGGAACGTATGTTTTTCTTAATTGTTTTATTATCTGTTCTTAAAACGTTAGTTTTCGCGGACCATTTAACAATGTTGTGATCTGATGAGCCGAGCGGTGCTATAATCACATGCTTAGAATACAAGGCTTCTAGATTAGTAACAATTAGATCCAAGATGTCACCTTCACGCGTTGGGGTGTCCACTATTTGCGTAAGATTGTGATGGCACAGGAGATCGCTGATATCTAAATTGTTGAAATCACCGAGTAAGACAACACCGCAGTCGGGGTGGGTACATCTAACTCGGTCAATCTGATCGATAAGATAGGCCGTTAATTCCTTTTGCTACAGTATTTACAATATATACAAAGAAGCAAGACTATAGTTGCATTTGACACAGCACATGGGACTATACAACTTATAGTACCAAATACGAAAATAACTGTATTACTAAGCATGCATAATGTTGTTGTTTTTTTAGTTTTGACAATATAAGTTATTAAAAATTAAAAGAAAATTCAGTGCGAGTAACAAATGCACTTAACTAGGTTTTTGCAAGAAAGACACGAAAATTGTTCAAGATGGTCAACCTCATGATTAAGATTAGAGAAAAACCTCTTAACTTTATGCTTATACGCAGACGGGGAGTAATCGTTAAGCACTTTCAGGTCATTTGGTAAAGAATTGAAAAGTAAAACACCACTGTATGAGAGTTTGGTCTTGGAAAAATTAGATTTGACAGATGGTATTTTGAGATCAGTAACAGAGGAGCGAGTATGTACATCGTGCGATGCCCCAGAGAAACAAAACAACTCGCGCAGACCACTAGGAGTTGAGCTGCGCAAGGTGCTTACAACGAGTAAAATTTTTCGCATCTTAATTAAGTTGTAGATGGGAATCCATTCCAGTTTGGGAACAGATCAACAGAAGGAGTTGACATACTCTCGTCCAAAGCCAATCTGGCTGCTCTTTTCTTAAGTTTAAGCAAAGGGTCGATAAGCTCATGACGTGCATTGCCCCAAATAGTGATACCATAAAGTAAATGGGGGTAGATAAAAGCATAGTAAAACTTAATTCTACATTTCAGTGGAAGGGCTGGGCAAATACGCTTAAACAGATAAAGCCTGGAATTAAAGTATTTATATATCGTATTCACTTGGTTGTCCCAGGAGAGATTTTTATCGAGTAAGATACCTAAAAGTTTGCCAGAAGTAATTTATTCAATCCAAAAATCCTCATAAAGTATGCTATCATAGTCAAGCAGTGAATACTTACGCTTTAAATAAATTTTCATGAATTTGGTTTTGCTAAAATTTAAAGCTATATGGTTGCTTCTTGCCCAATTAGAGGTAATACACAAATCAGCCGACAAAGAAGCATTGATATCAGGTAGCCATGGGCTAAAAGAGTCGAGTCATCCGCAGAAAGAGAAGGACGAGAGGTAGTAAGAAAAGATGGAAGATCATTGATAAATATTAAGAATAGTAACGGGTCAAGAATGGAACGTTGAGGGACCCCAATAATGATTGTTAAGTTAAAGGTTCTGAAAGGACTTCGTTAATTTGTACCTGTTGAGTTCGTCCTTCAAGATACGAGGCGAACCATTTTAGGGTCAGGTCAGTAGCCCCGTTTTATACTGACTGAAAAGTCAAACGTTCCGACAGCAACGAATTGGTTCAGTTTGGGATATATTTGTGGACTCAGGCCAACGAATCATTAATTAAAAGATAAGTATTGTATTATTTTACTCTTATTTTACTCTTATTTGTTATAAATATTGATTTTTGAACAAGAATCATTCAACTTGTTTATGCGCCAATCAATTTATACTGTTAACATCCCCCAGGGAATACCCTTGGGCATTTGAACTTTTTGAAATTTTGTGGTCAAATTTCCCACTCCCAGGACAAAAATGCTGTCCAAATGCCCCAACCCCCCAATCATTCTGACTGTAATTCTATCAGTTCAAGTTTGAAATTGTGTGAAAACATACACTGAATTCTAAAGGTAACTTCAACAGTTTAATAAGTGAGACCCCGTACAACTTACATCTCATGCTTTATAAAGCTTCCAAAAGTGTTTAATATAGTATACTCCATTTTGAATTTTGTTTTTTAGTAAATCTCAGACATCGCGCAATCTGGTGTATTTGGTCATTCCAGAAAACATCCATACCACCCCCATGGAGGAAATGGGAAGTTAACCCCCACCCTACCCCCTTCAGATGTCCTAATGCATTTACTATTATCAGAAACAATTTTTTCTCCCCTCCCCCTCAGGCAGAAATTTCCTCTGTGGGGGGAATGTTGATCTTTTCTGGAACGACCCATTAAATGGTCAAATGCCCCATGTCTTGTGACTCAGCGTCAAATGCCCTACCCTAACAATGATTTGGATTCTTGCACTTCACTTGGTGGAATTAATATGAGAATCTTAGGGTTTGTAATCCGAGTGAGAAGTCCACCTTTTCACAATCTGCACCCCCGATTACCTATATATGCATGAACTTACGATTACAGCTCAACAGCTGGCCTCTGTACCTCAGTTGGATAGAGCGCTGCACTGGAATCGCAGGGCCGTAGGTTCAATTCCTACCAGAGGACCTTGTGCTGCATTTTTCGCAGTCGTTTCTGGTTAGATCTTAAAATGTATATATTCTCACTTGGATTACAAAACCTAAGATTCTCATATTAATTCCACCAAGTGAAGTGCAAGAATCCAAATCATTGAAGTCCACCTTATCACAACCCGCACACCCGATTACCTATATATACATGAACTTATGGTTACAGCTAAACAGCTGGCCTCTGTAGCTCAGTTGGTTAGAGCGCTGCACTGGAATCGCAGGGCCGTAGGTTCAATTCCTCCAGAGGACCTTGTGCTGCATTTTCGCAGTCGTTCCTGGTTAGGTCTCAAAATGTATATATTCTGACTTGGATTACAAACCCTAAAGCCGGTTTTCCACTGGGCGGAATTTTGCGGGCGGAGCGGAATTTTTCTTTGTCTTGTGATTTCTCGGGTGGAACTAATTAGAAAAGACAAAGAAAAATTCCGCTCCGTGCTCAAAATTCCGCCTAGTGGAAAACAGGCTTAAGATTCTCATATTAATTTCACCAAGTGAAGTGCAAGAATCCAAATCATTGAAGTTCACCTTATCACAACCCGCACTCCCGATCACCTATATATACATGAACTTACGGTTACAGCTCAACAGCTGGCCTCTGTAGCTTAATTGGTTAGAGCGCTGCACCGGAATCGCAGGGCCGTAGGTTCAATTCCCACCAGAGGACCTTGTGCTGCATTTTTCGCAGTCGTTCCTGGTTAGGTATTAAAATGCATATATTCTCACTTGGATTACAAACGCTAAGATTTTCATATTAATTCCACGAAGTGAAGTGCAAGAACCAAATCATTGAAGTCCACCTTATCACAACCCGCACACCCGATTACCTATATATACATGAACTTACGGATACAGCTCAACAGCTGGCCTCTGTAGCTCAGTTGGTTAGAGCGTTGCACCTGAATCGCAGGGCCGTAGGTATAATTCCTACCCTAACAGCAGTTCAAAAGGTCAAATTCCCCACTGAAGTTGTCCAATTCCCCGGGGGGGGGGATGTTAACAGTATAAATTTATCGCCGCATTAAATGGTGCATGTCACTGGGCATTCCATTCTGTATGATTGTGTATAGATAGAAAAAAAATATTTACCCATGCTAACCCTGTCAACCGAAGCTGATTTCCACAGGGGTAGTGCTTCCCAACCATGAAGAGACACAATGTATAATATTTGTCTGCTGTCACTTTATTAGATTTACTTGATGGTCATCTTCGATCATATCTTCGTTTGCACCTAGCTTGTGGTCTGCAAACACAGATTTGTTGCCATCCAGGAGAAAATGATGACAAACTTCTAGAATCATTTTGCTTTTTAGGTTCTTCATGTTGGTGATGCTGTTGCCTTTCTGGCAAACATACAGCTTGAAGATATGTTCACAGTGTTCAATTGTAGTGTAAACAGACTTTGATTTGTAGTGTACTTGTTATGTTTAAATTAACCCATAAAGTGAAATTGTCTGGCGTTAGAAAGAGTCTGACGTTAGAAAGAGTCTGATGTTAGGCAGAGTAAAATAATAAAATAGGGTGCAATGCGACTCAATGGGTTAACTAGACACATGGGCAGATAGGCTAGTTAACCCATTAAGCGCCAGCGCTATCCCCTTGATGAGTAAAATCATCTGGCGTTAGATGGAGTGAAATAATAAAGTAATGCGCATCAGGGCGCAATGCGACTCATTGGGTTAATTTCACAATTTGTTTCTTTGTGACCTTTACAAGTGCCTTGTAAGGAACAATTGCCACTTGTGATATACAGTAGAACTGTTGTTAATGGGCATTCAGGCCAATTGTGGAAGTGGTCATTGAGTACTTACAGTTTGTGTAGTATGACTGTACATAGTTTTACTGTAACTATATATGTGTATTGTATGCCTGATATGGTCAAATGTTGTCGGTATGTAATTTATTTAAAAAATACTATATATTTACCCATGTCAGGTGATGTGTATAAATACAATTATTGCAGTAAGGCTTGATTAAAACATTGTTGTAAAAATAAACACTTGCCTGTGAAATTAATTTGGCTTATTTTCTTTGTTACTGCTGTAATATTCATTCCTTTTGCACTTGTGAATTGTACAGTTAACTGGCATGTTATATTTTTCTTCAGAAAGGAGATAGCTTTCGTTTTTTACTTTAGAAAATGATTTTTTTCTTAAAATTTCAGAAAAAAATTGTACTCTGACAGGTGGAAAAGGACTGGGGAAAGTTAAAATTTGTTGAAAGATTTGTTTCTGTTTTTGCACGAAAATACTCATTTTTAGTGATACATAGCCTACCTAAATGGGAAAAAATAAGTGAAAAAGTAAGATTGATGTAACTTTAGCCCATATTCGCTGTGTTCTTTTCAAATTCCTCAACGAAAGTCCTGAAAACACAAAAGTTTGCCGATGTTTCTTGGCGGCAATGTTTCTAACTTGTTTTTCACTCATCAAATAAATTGAGATAAAATGACAAAATGTTTCTAAAATTTACTTCTTCTGAAAGACCACTTTCTCTAGTTTACTAGAGGCATAGAAAAGCTTGACTTTCATACAGTTGGCTGAAAAGTTATGAAGCTTTCCCATAAATTGATGAACATTTTTCATACGGAATTTAGTAAATTTCCGCGTAGGGGCCTGGATCATACCTACAAGACGAGCTTCAATTTCCGCCATCTTGGCTTCAATTACGGAGCCGCAGTTATCGTTCCAGTATATAGTAGAGTTCACTGTACCAACCTTGTACCCAGGCCTTTTCGTCTACGCTCCTCAGCTATACATTTTACAAGTGGTTTGTGTGTTAGCTTATAAGCCAATCAGCGATCGCTTAGACATAATGAAAACCCAAGATGGTGGCTGCAAAGAGTTAGTAATATTTTGATGCATTTTACAATTCATTTTTACAAGTAAATTTAAAGTAAGAAAGTTTTTCATGCCAAATACTTCAAATAATCTATTTTTAGATCCATCTTTAGGGTATGTATATTTCATATATGTATAGTTTTATCCTGTGTTTGAATAATTAGACCATATAGGCTTACATTTAGTACAAAAAGATTATTTTAATAACTACGTTTCGGAGTATAACTCCATCTTCAGGTTAAAAGTAACTAAAGATATAAAACTTTAAAAACATTTACAAATTTAGACAAAATCCGTTAGGATTGCGTATAATAGCTGACGTGCGCTTCAAACTAACTCGTGTCCGTGCGCGTGCTTAATTTTTGTTCATTGCGTGTCCGTGAAAGCGTTAAAGATTTCGTGTCCGTACCTGCGTCTGTAATTAATTTAAACTATATACTAAATCCCTTAACGTCCTGTAGCTCATCATTTGAGTTCAGGTCAGGTTGCATTCTTTCAGTGTAAAATGCCTCCGTGATCTTTCTTTCCAATGTTCCTTTAGTTTTCTTCAACATAGATGGAATAAGCTTATAGGCAACTGACCCGGGTGTAACTCTTCCTAATGCTTCGAGAATGCCATGTGTTGGTAAGATTTCGCATCGGGATTCCTTGCAGAGCGAAGATGTTTATTGAACCTCACAGCGAATTGTCGGCCGGTTTCCCCCACGTAAATTCCATGGTTCTTGTCACATAAACCGCACTTATGGAGTAGAACAAATCCATCCGGAAGCACATATTCTTCTTGTCGCAAACTTGACAAAACTTACATTTCGGACCAGCTCGGCAATGGCTATCATGCGGACGGGATTGGACAAGCATGCTTCTAAGGGACTTTCCCGGGCGCTGTATCACTCTGATGTTTAAACCTTTTTCTTGATAGTTCTTCTGACGTCCGCGGTAAATTCTTCCGAAATAAACGGGATCATCAAGCAAGCATCTGGATTTGGTGTATTTGATGATTTCTTTGTTTTGCGTGTCCTTAGGTTGCCAGTTGTGATGGTTTCTGCTGCATAGCCATTTCGGATGGTGCGATTTCTGAATTCGCTCTCAGCTGTTGCTTTAAGATTATTATCAGACGAAATCAGCGAAATCGTTTTAATTGTGTGTTGAATAGCTCCAACCTTCATTGATTTCGGATGGTGAGATGATGGATGAATCATTATTCCTTTGTTTGCTTGTTTCGTGTACCATGCCGTGTCCAAAGTGCCATCGGGATTTACTCGGACTTTGGTGTTGAGAAATGGTAGGTAGCCCTCTTCGTCCGGCAACTCGATCTCGAATTTAATTGAAGGGTCTTGTGCATTCAGGATTCCATGTATCGATCACGCTTCGTTGTTATCCTGTGCTGCTGTAATGCAATCGTCGATATACCGGTGGTAGGGTTTGGTGGAGAGACTCGTATCTGCATATATAGTTTGATTTTCTACTATGTCCATGTAAAGGATGGCCAGTAAAGGTGACAACCGGTTCCGCATTTCCAATCCTCGTAGTTGCTTTAAGTATGTACCACTCCAGGAAAAGCAACTGTTGCTTAGCACAATCTTGGTCAGTAGCACAATATCTGGAATAGGAATGCCATACAACTGTAGGTCTCTTCTGTGTTGGTACAGGTAATCGCGAAGGGTATCAACGGCTGCCATGTTGTCTACGCTCGGATATAAAGAAACCACATCAAGGTTGAAAAGGATTTTATTTTTCAAATCATCTTGTTTAGGCTTCGAAGCTTTGCCAGTAGATCACCTGGTGTTGGTTAAATGGGCTTTCACCTACTTCAGGAGTGGAACACAAATCTTGTGAATCAACCACGAAATTTTATCAGCAGGGCTTTCACATCCCGCAATGATAGGACGAACCTTGATATCTTCAGCGTCAAGATCTCTCAACGATACCGATTTAAATTTGTGGGTCTTTGTAAGCAGGTAGATAACTGGACATACACTATATGTGGAAGCAAGACGTTCAGCTGACTTTTGATCAATCTTGTTTTTCAGGTAAATGTATTTCCAAACCTCGTTAATTTCTTCTTCCGCCTTCTTAGTCTGGTCTTTCTTGAGGTGCTCATACAGAGATGGGTTGGCAAGGTGTAACTCTGTGAGTCGTTTATCGAGATCATTACGGGTAACAACAAATTCACCGCCTTTATCACTAGCTGAGAATCTTATCATCTTATCATCTTTAAGTTTAACATGTTCGGAGAGTGTGTTCATTTGGTCGGGGTTGAGATTTTGTTTAACTGTTCGTTTCTTGTGCTTCTGAATAAGTTCATGCATTTCGTGCTTTAAAGCCTTCAAGGTGATATCTAACTGACCTGAGACGCATTCTATAGATGCTTTCTTGTTAGGCTTATCAAATGGACTGCTATTTATGATATCAAGAAGATTATCTTCGGAATTACTTTCGACGTTCTCATTGTTGTTAGCATTCATAATTTCTTTCCAACGTAACTTATAAGCCAGTTTTCCTAACTCTACATTGATATTGAATTGATCATGTTTAATGATTCGAGAACTTGGAACAAATTTCGGCCCAATTTCTAGAATCACTAAACATGATGAATTCAATATCAATGTAGAGTTAGGAAAACTGGCTTATAAGTTACGATGGAAAGAATTTATGAATGCTAACAACAGTGAGAACGTCGAAAGTAATTCCGAAGATAATCTTCTTGATATCATAAATAGCAGTCCATTTGATAAGCCTAACAAAAAGCACCTATAGAATGCGTCTCA